CAAAAATACACCAACCCTAATCTCGCTAAACCCTCATCACAGCCGACGACTCCAGCGCTGTGCGCCCAGCACTCACCAGCTGTGATGAGGGGTTAGGCATTTAGGCTCAGTGTATTTCTGACTAAACGAAACCCTGAAACAGTGAGCTCCTTTCATGCTCAGTAACCTCGTACCGTGGCTTCTACTATTGCCCCCTCTTACTGACAAGAGCCGGAGAGTCAGCCAGCAGGTAACTGGCAAAGCTCGAATCTGAGGATAGGTCAGGCTGTCTCCAAATCCCTGGCTCTTGGCCTCCCTGCTGCCCGGAACTGTGGCAGCAGAGTGCCTCCTTCCAAAGTCAAGTAGACAGGAACAGGCCAGACACCCTCGCCTAACACAGGGCCATGCTCACGCTGGAGGGGCAGAGAGTCCTGCCACTCCAAATGCCAGCAGCGTGGCAAAACATCACCAAGCCACTCCAGACTTTGTTCAGGACAAAACCAAGGGTGTCTACAGCTCCTGTGACGCAACAGCAACTCAGGCTGGAGAGAGAGACAGGAGCAGAAGGAAAAAGATCCACGACGAGGGGCAGACACTGTCTCCCAGACCCTGGTGGTGTTGTTGTTTAGTCGCTCAGTTGTGTCCACCTCTTTTGCAACCCCATGGACAGGCTCCTCTGTCCCTGGGATTCTCCAGGCAAGAATACTGGAGTGGGTTGCCATTTCCTCCTCCAGGGGATCTTCCTGACCCAGGGATCGAACCAATGTCTCCTGCATTGGCAGGCAGATTCTTTACCACTGAGCCACCAAGGAAGCCTCTCCCAATCCCTGAAGTGAAGTTGCTCAGTCGTGTCCGACTCTTTGCACCCCCACGGACTGACTATAGCCTACCAGGCTTCTCCGTCCATGGGATTTTCCAGGTAAGAATACTGGAGTGGGTTGCCATTTCCTTCTCCAGGAGATCTTCCCGACCCAGGGACTGAACCCGGGTCTCCCACATCGTAGGCAGACACTTTACCGTCTGAACCACCAGGGAAGTCCCAATCCCTGGACCCAACCATAATGTGCCCTCTGCCAGCTGATGAGCTGCTGTCAGCAGGTTGGAAGGTTTAGCAGAAGTGCCTAGTGTGTGTAGGAAATGCCTAGTGTCCCTCAGTCACCTCAGCTGGGCATTCAGGGTCCCCCAGCTCTGTGCTCCTGTCTCCCCATGACTCTGCAGTCACCTGGAACCCTGCCAGCAGCAGCCACCCTTCAGTCCCAGCCACCTGTGGGGCCCAGGACCATCCCTCCTTCACCTTGAGCATCACCAGCCCCACTTTCTCCTTCTGGGGGTTCCTGGCTCCTCATGCCTGGGTGAAGGAGGGCAGAGAACAGATCTCATTGCTCAGGGAGCAGGTACTTCCCTGAGACACAAGCTCTTAACCCAGGCCCACGGGTTGTCAGGCAGGCTGTGCAGACCCTCTGCCTCTCCAGTGGGAGCTGGGCCAGCACTTTCCTTGGGTTCTCAGAGAAACCACCCTGGTTAGGTGGGTGAGTGCAGGAGGAGAGGCAGAAATGCCTTAAGGAATAAGCCTCCTCCACTCTACTATCTTCCCGGTGGCTCAGACGGTAAAGAATCTGCCTGCAACGCAGGAGACCCAGGTTCGATACCTGAGTCAGGAAGATTCCCTAGAGTAGGGAATGGCAACCCACTCCAGTATTCTTGCCTGGAAAATCTCATGGACAGAGGAGTCTGGTGGGCTACTGTCCATGGGGTCACAAAGAGTCAGATAAGACTGAGTGACTAACAGTTTCACTTTCACTCCAGAGTCAGGCTCCCTGTGATCCAGAACAGCACCAGCTGCAGCAAAAAATGAGCATCAAGGGCTTCCCTGACAGTCCAGTGGCTAAGAACCGACCTTCCAATGCAGGGGACATGGGTTTGATGCCTGATCACAGGCTTCCCAGAAACGCAAGACCAACTCCAGCAGGGAGCTCACCAAGGAATTCAACTCACTGCTGGGCCTGCTACAATACTCTCTCCCTTTATTCTTGTACTATTGTTTTCTTATCATGTATTAATTAAATACTCAAGTAATAAGTAAGTCCTCATTCATGCAAACATTACAGAAGTGTACAGAGATGTGCCAGGGCACGCCCACACTCACGCTATCATTTTATACTAATTACTCTGGGAGGGGCCAAGCTGAACCCAAGGTCTAAGCTGCCTGTGGAGAGCAACATCCAACAAGCAGAAGGAGGCAGAGGGAGGTGACCGCCTGCACAGGGCAGCCTGAGGGATGTCAGGGAAGGCCTGATGGCAGAGGCAGAGGGGTCAGAGGACACACCCAGGCCCAGGTCCCTGAAGCACCCAGGCCTGGCCACTTGGCAGAATCACAGCCTCCATCACCCACTTAGCGTCTTAGGAATTAATTACCTGATGGCTCCAGGCAGAATCTGGGAGCTTGCAGGAGGCTGCAGGCAATCCGCAGAGACCTGTAGAGCAGTGTTTGATGCCAAATATCAGAAGAACCTCCGAGGATGGATTCTTATATTTTCACCTTTACTATAGCTCTGATTGTGTCTCAAGTTACTAGTTCTCTGATAGAAGAAGTTGGTTCTGATAAGTTTATCAACAGCAAATAGCAAAGGGATGAAACTACTCCAAGAGAACCTCTGTGTTCAGGACAGTCTTCTATCAGTCTAGTAGCTTGATTTTTTTTTTTAAAGTATATGAGAATAAGGCAATGCACTGATAAAACAAAGGAAGCTTATCATGAAAAAGCATTGGAAAAAATTGAGACAAAAAATCAAAAGCATCATGAGACTCATCTAACATTCTTTTTTTTTTTTTTTTCCTTTTTTTGAGACTCCTCTAACATTCTTTTGAATTTGTATTGATCTGGGTTCTTTTCCTTGCATTGTGGACATGTCTTCCAGATTGCTCCACTAAAATGTAAAGGAGGGCTTTGTAAACCTGAAGCCTGATTAAGAAAAATTGCCAGTGAGCCTGGAGTAGAGGAGAGTTTAGGGGAGAATGGACACACACACGTGTATGGCTGATCCCCTTTGCTGTTGACCTGAAACTATCACCACATGGTTAATTGGCTGTGCCCCAATACAAGATGAAAAGTTTTTCTTTTTTTTTTTAAAGAAAAAGGAAAATTGCCAGTAATAAAAGCCATGATGATGAAGGAAATTAGAAAACGGTGTTGACAAGAATAAGGAACCATAGTTCTCAGGACTGGAAGGTTATAAAGAAAACTTGAGGTTTTCAGAACATGTGCTTTCTTCATGTCAGACTCACAGACATTTTTAGTGTAGGATTGGTTTTGTGTTTTGGGGGTATTTCATTTGGCAAGGAAAGTACCTACTAGTGTATGTCACGTTTTCAAGAGTATCTGAAATTTCTGGGGAACTTCTGTGAAGAATTAGATTCTAAGTCCCTACAGGGCTAAGTTAAAGGCAGATGCTTCCGACTGAAGCCCAAACATTCCTCCGGGGGTCTCAGCTTTGAAGATGTCAGGGAGAGTCCAGGATGGACAGAGCCGTGCTTCCCGAGGGCGTGGCCTCACCGCGTGCATCTCACCCGCCCTGAACGATGCATGCAGCGTTCACTAGGTCTACTTCACAAGTATTCTATTAGAAGACTGTGATCTAGTCACTCATGAAACCCAGGAGCCCACTGAGGCCAGAGAGGCAGGGCTGACTTTCTAGGGCCACCAGAGTCAGATGACAAACCCCAAAAACCCAAATAGTCTACCCACCGATTTCAAAACCCGTGGAGAGGCGTCAGGACCTGTATTCCCTACCCCCTTGCCCTCTTTTATTCTTGGCAGTAGTCCTGCACGTCTACCCCAGGCCAGTGCCCTGAGTCATCCTCTGCCCCAGAAGCATGCTGAGAACTGATCTGGACCAAGGAGGAGGAGCTCCCGGAGAGCCCCGCCCCCCGAGTGTCCCGCCCCTGTCTTCCTGGTTGCGCTGGGGCCCGGCGCTCTCTGCTCCTCTCCGCTCTCGATCAAGGCTCAGTCCAGGTCTCCCTCCAACGATGCTGTACCGTTTCAGCCAGACTCCTGTATTACATCCCCCGGCAACATGATAGTGACGACCTCCAGGGACTAGAACTCCCTCCCCAGGGAGTTTCCAAATCACAGACTCACAGGACTCATTACTAGAGAGATGGATAGGTGGTGACGGCCAGGAGGTGGGGAGAAGCGGGCTAGAGCCAAATCAACGTTCCCCACTCGCAGGGCTGCTTGTTGGAAGTGTGTCTGGAGGGCCAGCCGTGTCACCAAGCATGCTGCCTCCCGTGGTGGGGAGGGGCAGTAACCGTCTCCCGTGGTTACTGGTGGTCACTCAAGCACTCTCAGCGTCCTAAGGTATGCAGAGTCGTCCCTTGCTGCATGTCAGGCCAGATGTTCCAGCCCTGACAGAATCCGCAGGTGCGGCCGGGGGAGGAGCTGGAAGTCGCCCATCCCGAGCCCGGCTCCTGTGGCCACCCTCTCATGGGTGCTGGGGGAAGCTCCTTTGTTCTCCGTGGCCCCTTCCCCCACTTTGGTGTGGTCGGTGGGGGCGGGGGAGGCGCTCACTGTGGTCTGGCTTCAGGGTAGAGTAACCACAAGACGATCAGACTGCAAAATTCAACTCAGGGGGGCAGAGTTCCTGTGTTCTCCTGCTAGAAAGGCTTCTTCGTGGTCTTGAGTCGTATGTCAAAAATGGCCCCTTGTGAAAAGAACTTATGGTTATGGGGGGAGCAGGCTGTTAGGGAGTTTGGAATGGACATCTACACACTGCTGTATTTAGGATGGATAACCAACAAGGACCTACTGTAGAGTATAATACAGGGAACTCTGCTCAATGGCAGCCTCCATGGGAGGGGAGTTTGGGGGAGAATGGATGCATGTGTATGTACAGCTGAGTCCCTCTGCTGCTCACCTGAAACTGTCACAACATTGTTCATCAGCTATGCTCCAATATAAAATAAAAGCTTTAAAAAAAAAAAAAAGTCCTCTGTGAGCATGTGTTGTAGATACACACATGTAGGTCCCAGGAAGGAGTGGGGAAGGGGATAGAAATCATTCCCACAGCATTTATCACATTATGTGTAAATTGTCTCAATCCATCTGTGCTTAATATGAAAAGCTGCATTCTACCTGCACAGGTGAGTCTAGGTGGTTATTTCAAAAATGGTAGTTCCTTATCTATCCCCCCGCCACCAGGGTAATGTTTTCCACCAAGCTGATGAACAGATAAAGCTATGGTACATATATACAATGGAATATTACTCAGCCATAAAAAAGAGTGAAATAATGCCATGTGCAACAGTATAGATGGACCCAAAAATAATCATACTAAGTGAAGTAAGTCAGAAAGAGAGACAAATACCGTATGATATCATTTATATGTGGAATCTAAAATATGACACAAATGAGCTTCTCGAAGCAGAAACAGACTCACAGAGAGAGCACACTTGTGGTTGCCACGGAGGTAGAGGGGTAGGGCAGGGAGAGACTGGGGACTTGGGACTCGCAGATGAAACCATTATACATAGAGTGGATAACAAGGTCCTGCTGCAGAGCCCAGGGAACTGAACTTGACATCCTGTGATAAACCACAGTGGAGAAGCATAAATGCATAAATGCCCTTTCTCTGTCCACTCCTCCCTGCACGCCCCTGAGGTCACCCCCAGTCTAGGCCTTCCCCGTGCCATATGAAGATCACCACAGTGGTACACAACGTCTTCCCAGGCCAGTCCCCCTGCCCCAGTGTCTCTAAGAAATCAATGCATTCAGCAAACGCTTACTGAGAAGCTTCCAAATGCCAGAACTATTCAAAGTCCTGGTGCTAATCAGAAAAATAAGACAAGCAAAGTTCTTTGCTCTCACATATCTCCTTAAAAGCCAGGAAACAATTCACAAGAGTAATGTCAAGTGGTGATAAGTAAAACAGAAATAAGCAGGGTTAGTTAAGGAATAAAGAATGATAGAGGGCTATGTTATGGCAATTGCTCACAAAATGTCTTAGATAACAGCAGGCTTCTAATCCTCATCACTGCAAAGGCAGATGAAGTTCTTCTGTAAACTCCAGTGAGATAGAAATTTATTTTAAAAGCTCAGGCAAGTCCCTGGAATAGAAATATTTTGTTTAAAAACTTTCTTAAACTTTGGTATTTTAATAAAGACCCCATGATATGAAGCTTATTTCTTGGTTATCAAAAAAAAAAAAAAAAGAGGGGCTTCCCTGGTGGCTCAGTGGTAAAGAATCCACATGCCAATGCAGGAGACATAGGTTCAACCCCTGATCTGGCAAATCCTACATATTGCAAAGCAACTAAGCCCATGCGCCACAGCCACTGAGCCTGCTCTAGTGCCCAGTAGCCGCAGCTATTGACGCCCTCAATCCATAGAACCTGCGCTCTGCAACAAGAGAAGCCACGACAATGAGGAGCCTGCACACAACTACCGCTAGCGAGCAGCCCCCACTCCCCACAGCTACAGAAAAGCCCGCACAGCAACAAAGACCCACCTCACACAGTAAAAATAATAAAAGTGTGTTTTTCAAAAAAGGTGAACTTCCCTGGCAATCTATAGTTAAGACTCCATGCTTCCAATAAAGGGGTTGCAGATTCAATCCCTGGTCAGGGAATTAGATCCCTCATACCGTTTGGCAAAAAAAAAAAAAAAAGAAAGAAAATGGCTGATGGAGACAAAGCTGCTATTTCACACAGAAAGGCCCTGGGAGCCTCTGTAAGGAGGGGCCTGAAGGGGATGAAGAAGCTAGCCATGCAGATATCAGAAGACAAGTGTTCCAGGCAGAGAAAACAGTGAGTGCAAAGGACCTGGGGAAGGCGCATGCTCTTTGACTAAGGGCAGTCAAGCAGTCTGATAAAGAAAGAGAAAGTAAGCAGAGTGATCTGGGTTAGAAGTGAAGTTACAGAGGTATCACAGACCAGACCATGGAGAGCTTTGTAAGCCATGGGGAAAACTAGGAATATCAGACTGAGAAGAATGGGGAACTAGTTGATAGTTTTGAGCAGAGAAGTGGAATGACCTGACTTGTTTGCAGAGGATGCTGAGGACAGCCTCCAGTGGAGGGAGGAGAGACACAGGGAATCCAGCTGGGCATCACTTGCGGTGGTCCAGACATGGTGTAAGGATGGCTCTGAGTGCCAGGTGGGGAGAAGTGGATGGATTCTGGACATACCGCAAAGGTGAAGCCAACAGAATCACTGATGGGCCAGGTGTCAGTCGTGAAAGAAAAAAAAGTATCAGAGATGACTCAGAGTTTTCACCTTGAGTAGTTGGGAGGATGCAGGGGTGGGAGGTCGACTGCAGGAAGAACAGGCTGGGGAGAGAGCAGGGAGAGTGCTCAGTCTGGGGTGTGTCAAGTTCACGATGACTGAGGTCCAGGTGGAGATGTGAAGCCGCCAGCTGGCTCTGTGTCTGGAATTCAGGAGAGACTCCAGACTAAAGGCTTATACAGGATAGAAGAGAGTGTGTAGTTGCTATTTTTTCTTTTTTCTTTTCTTTTTTTTTTTCCTTGGTCTTAAACAGTAGTCTTTATTTATACAAAGCAGTACAAAATGAGGCAGTTCCTCAAAGGGTGACTCGGAGCTAGAAAATCCATCCTGGCTGTGAAAGTGTTAGTGTTAGGCGGTAAACCCTATCCTACTCTTTGTGACTGTGGACTGTAGCCTGCCAGGCTCCTCTGTCCATGAGATTATCCAGCAAGAATACTGGAGTGGGCTGCCATTTCCTACTCCAGGTGTAGTTGGTATTTGATGTATTGCATGTGGGTGCACGTGCACGTGCACACACACACACACACACATACACATGTAGTAACACGGTTGACACTTGAACAACATGGATTTGAACTGCACAAGTCCATGTGTACACAGATTATTATTTCAATAAATACACACTACAGTACTACATAACCTGAGGTTAGCTGAATCCAAGTCACTAAGTTATGCCTGACTCTTTGCAACCCCATGGACTATAGCCCAGCAGTCTCCTGTGTCCATGAGATTTTTCCAAGCAAGAACACTGGAGTGCGTTGCCATTTCCTCCTCCAGGGTATCTTCCCCACCCAGGGATTGAGCCCAGGTCTCCTGCATCTCCTGCACTGGCAGGCGGGCTCTTTACCTGGGAAGCCCAAATCCAAGGATACTGAGGACCAAACTGAAAAGTTATACACTGCCTGCCAATCTCCTTGTCATTCTAGAAGCAACCAAATATATGTCTGATATTCAGACCATCGACAGAGCAGAGATGTTTGCTGGTGGACAGATGCAAACCGACAGCCCTGAGAAGGAATCTAAAACCAGACTCAGCTTTTCACTTAGCGAGTGAGCAGAGAAAGAGGAGCAGGCTCTGTGAATGAGCCTGGGGACCTCTAGCATGTTTGTCTAAAACAAAGCTTCAGCTATTCACCCCCCAGAATCATCCAAGACATCCATTGTCCAAATGCTTGGAGTAGAGTCTGCTCATCCTGCCGCCTTACAGGCCCTCTTCCCTTCTCCTTCATGGAGCTTCCATCAGGCCAGTCCCAGGGCCACTGCCCCCTCACACCATGCCCACCCCACCCCCAGCGCCTGGTTCACTCTTTTGTCCTCTGTAGGAGGGTCTATGCTGGGGTGTTCTTTCTGCTTGACCCATTCCAACTAAGCCACCGAAGACTGTCTAAGCCCCAGGCTTCCCATAAGCACTGCTACAACCCTGTCCCGGGCTCCCCTGGTGGCTCAGTGGTAAAGAGTCTGCCTGACGATGCAGGAGCCTGGGTCCAACCCCTGGCTTGGGAAGGTCCCCTGGAGAAGGAAACGGCAACCCACTCCAGTGTTCTTGCCTGAGAAATGCCAGGGACACAGGAGCCTGGAGGGCTACAGCCCATGGGCTCACAAAGAGTCGGGCACAACTCAGCAACTAAATGGCAACTCCTGGCCTGTGGGGTCCCCCGTGGGGCCCCCTCCCAAAGGCAGGCCGGGGCCTCTGGCCTTGACCACTGACCAGGCTCCACTCACGCATCAGCCCGCACGGGAACGCTGTCTCTGTCCTTGCGAGGGCCAGGATGGATCTCTGTGTCCTGGCTTCCCTGGTGCTTGGCACTGCCTGGCACTCAGTGACCTTCACTCATGACGCCGATGAGCGCTGTGTAGACAAAGAGAAGGGCCGTCCATCACGGCGTCCTCAGCGACACCTACCCCTGGGTGGCTGCCCCCAGCATCCGTGGGCAGCCAGCAGCAAGGGAGTCTGACCACAGGGTTACTTTTCTCTTCCTCGTAATCCGTGCTCAGCCCAGCACCCTCCTGTTCCTCATGAGAGAAGTGGGGGCTTTCTCCTCCCACCCCATGATTTCACCCCTCTTGGCAGCTTTGAATTTGGGCGAGAACAAGATCAGGTTCTTCTGGGGTCCCCTCCCCCCGTGCCCACGACCACCCTTCCCACAGGGAGAAGTGTCTCCTCTCCCTCGAGGATGAAAGAGCCTTCCTCCAACAGCAAATTATTTCTAAACTGTATATCTTGTTTAATGCATTTCAAAATTGAAAGAAAATACTTCCCCCACAATTACAGTCATTTTGTAACTAAACCCCACAGTTTCCCAGCTCCTTCCAAACCTACTTATTTTAAAACAGAAAAACACTGCCGTTTCCCAACATGGTCTTTATGGAGTAAACCAGGGTGCATAGAGGCGACCACTTTACTCTCCAGAATTGTCCTAGGACCATTGGATTAAAGACAAATTGTGTCTGTGTGTGTGTGTGTGTGTGTGCACACGAGTGTGCTAAATCACTCAGTCATATCCAGCTCTTTGCGACCCCATGGACTGCAGCCCGCCAGGCTCCTCTGTCCCTGGGATTCTCCAGGCAAGAACACTGGAGTGGGTGCCATGCCCTCCTGCAGGGGGTCTTCCTGGCCCAGGGGTGGACCCATGTCTCTTACCTCTGACCTGCACTGGCAGGCGGGTTCTTTACCACAACAGCCAGTTGGGAAGGCCAAAGGCAAATCAGAAGTCTTGAACGCTGTTCTCTTTCGGAGAGATTTTGAAAGCCAGGTTTTCAGCGAGGCAGGTTCTCGTGAAGCACACGGTTCGGGCAGGCAGGGC